CGACCTGTCTACCCTCCGGTGTCCAGCCACGGGACTCACACCGTCGATCCACCTGCCCTCCGGTGTCGGACCACGGGCTCCACACCTTCACACACCATCAAAATAAAATCTGTTACATCGGACTCTGTCTCCTGTGGTCTTGCGTTTGGGTCCTACCCGTGAACTCCCGTGACAGTTGGTGACGTAGTTCATGTTTCACACAAAACAACTGAAACGGAGACTTTGACTTGCAGAATGATCTTTTAAATCTACAAACGTCATGTGATTAATGGCACAATTCAAACTAAATGAAAGCATTATTTCTCTCACCGTTGACGACTGTGTATATTTTTTCAAAGTAAGGTCCAACACTGGAAGGGGCGGGGACTTCCCCTCTTTGTGCACACTCCTCATTTCCATCTTCCTCACCCTGTCTGCTCTTCTCCTCTGTCATCTTTCCATCCATCATCTGTTCCATCATCTCTGCAGCATTGTGGGAACCTATCCGTTCTGCTGGTGTGTGCGTGTGTGCATATATGTGTGTGTGTGTGTGTGCGTGTGTGTGTGAGAGACAGCATGTTGGCCCGTTGCCAGATCTCTGACAAAATAAGGCGTGTGATTGTGAGTCACACACTCGGTGTTGTTCATGTGTGTTCACTTCTCAGAGTCTGCTTCTCTTTTTGATAGCGTGTTTTTAAGTGTACGACTGTGTGTGTGTGTGTGTGTGTGTGAGTCAACTGGCCCCATAATTACATTCCATTCACCTTTCTCCTCAAACATTCCATACAATCTCTTTGCCTCCCAGCCTTCCTTCAAGGCCCCATGCGGTGTGTGTGTGTGTGTGTGTGTGTGTGTGTGCGTGTGTGTGTGTGTGTCCTGCGTGCAGATCATCACATCCTACCAGACAGTCTTTCTCCACCCAGGAGCTCAGCGACACACTCGCGTTGCGTTACATATGAAAAACCACAAAACCTTTCAGTTGCACAAAAAAGACGTTTACAAGCTTCAGAGACGAAAAACGTGTGTGTGTGTTTCTGTCAGCACCATCACTGTAATACAGCATGTACCAGGATGGAAACTGTGTGTGTGTGTGTGTGTGTGTGTGTGTGTGTGAGAGGCTCTCTGGACAAATTGGGCAGACAGTTAAGTGGTTAAGCATCTGTGTGTGAACTGGAAAAGAGGGGGCGTGTGTGTGTGTGTGTGTGTTTGCTCAGCTAGGTCAGCCAATGGCTCGTGAAAGTCATCCAGGTGTCCTGAGCCGCCGCCCACAGAGACACAGAGACACAGAGAGCTAGACGGAGACACTACATGAATCATTCAGATAGTCTGAGATCCAGAATATCAACGGAAATAAAATTACAAGTATCTTCTTTAAAGATGTGCCGTCTGATTGAACGCTGCATATTTGTCTTATCTGCCAGTTTATAAAGTTCTATATCTAATCCGTCTGAAGGAGAGAGACGTCCAATATTGCATAATCAGCGTATTGATCTTTATTTATCGTCACACTGCAGCTGTACCATCACACGCCTCTCTGATCAATGCATATTTACATCTTGGTTATATTTCTTTGTATTGATTCAGATCAAATCGTAGACTAATATAATAAAACCAAGTTAACAGCAGAGTAAAGTGGACGATGAGAAGGAACAGCGATGTTTTCTGTGTACCAGGACTCACCAGGAGGTGGCGCACTCATGTGGACCAAAACCAGGAGCAACGATGTCATGTTGGGTGCCAGAAGAAAATAAAGAAACATTCTGTCTGCTCAGCGGAGTTGGAAAGGTTTCGAATCAATGAAAGCAAAATGTGACAAGAAGAAGACAAACGAGAGATTAAAACGTCTCAGATTAACACGTTAAATAAAACAATGAAACATACATTTGCTTTGTTTTTGTTCAGGTCTAATTATTTAATCCCGTCTTCTTCTTCTTCTTCTGCGGCGGTTTGACGGCACGTGACTGTAGAATCAGCAGGAAACAGATGCAGGATTAACTGCAGGTGTTGATCATCATTTTTAATCTCGTCTCCGTCACGTTGTCTCGTTAACGAAACCGTTCAAATCTCCGTTTCATTCCTTTAGATAACGACGTTAGCTTTGCAGAAGCTACGTGTTGCGTCATCACAGTGGGACAAAGCTGGTGTGTGTGTTACACCTTTAAATGAAACTGAGGAAATGACTTCACATTTAAATACATAACTCCTCTGATCTCAGCTGGTTCATCATAAAATATTGTTCTCCTCACATTCATCACACCGTCATGTTGTTTTGTCATCTTTGTGTCACGTGACTCCGTCAGAAGGAGCTCAGAGATCAACTTACAGCCCGACGAAGCAAAATGTGACACATGAACTCTGATCTAAAGAAACCACGTCCCAGTCTCTAGAGGAATCTACTCACACTTCATCTATTCATCTGGATTTCATTATGAATCACGTCCAACTTTCCAAATCTGGGACTCGACACGAGCTGCTGCTGCAGGTTTCCCATGATCCTCTGGGAGCAGCCCGGGTGTTTGTGGGTAAACAGAGCAGAGCGACAACAAACAGCATCACTTCCTCTGCAGGAGGTCGTGAAACTCTCCCTCACACGTTCTCCTTTCCTTTCACAGAATACATGAACGTTACAGAACCAGCATATTGATGAACATATCTTCCTGCTTTTGTAACTTTATTATAATAAAGAGCAGCAGATTAGAGGAAACTGAGGCTTCAGACGAGGCTGACGGTTACGGCTGTATGTGTTCGACCTCGTGGCTCCACTGCGATGCGTTTGTAGAAATGCATATTTCACACCGCTGATTGAATAACATAATGTCACTACAGTGCGTCGGTGACGGTCTGTTTGTCTGTTTCTCTCCTCAGGGAGATCCGCTGCCCTCGTCGCTGGTCGACCTGGTGAGGAACTCTCCCATCTCCTCTGTGGACGACCTGAAGCTGCTGCTGCTGCAGGAGACCAATGCAATAGGTACGAACACACCCACACACACACACACACACACACACACACTAATAACAGACGTGGAGGAGGTGAGCGTCTACGGAGGCCTGAAGAGAAGGGAATGCAGTAAGGGAGAGCATCAGTCCGGCTCCATGTTAAGGCAATATTTACCCGAGACACAAGAGGGATGAGGCAGCTCTATATATGAGAGAGAGAGAGAGAGAGAGAGAGAGAGAGAGAGAGAGCGAGAGCGAGAGTGTATTCCTGACCTACCTATTATTATTAATTTAGTTATTGTGTAAAACATTATAATTCAGTTATATGTAATGTTGCTTTGGCTATAATGTGACCTGAACATTCATGCCGATAAAGTTTATTTGAATGAGAGAGAGAGAATGAGAGAGAGAGTGTGACCTCTCAGAGAGAGAGAGACTCGTCTCTCTCTCTCGTCTCTCACGCACTGAACAGCCCGTCAGACGCTCAGACGCTCAGTAAAACATTCATCGCTCTCATCCGTCTGAAGAAGCAAGTCACACATCATACATTCATAGACGGGCCTTTGATCGCTGCATCGGCATAAATAACAGAAGAGATGAGCAGACGGAGGGAAAACAGGAAGCCACTCTAAAGAGTTCATCACTGAAGCTCGTGAGTTTGAATGAAGTGTGTTGAGTCGAGGCAGCAGATGGATGATTCATGTGATGTTGTTTCATGATGTCGTGTCATCGGGACGCTTCCTGTGACCTCTTACCAAAAGTTATCCTACAAGAGTCAATGTCTCTGAGACTCAGTCAGGTTTAGGCAACACAAAAGACTTAGTTAGCTTTAAGAAAAGATCAGCAGAGTTAAAATAACGACATGATGTCACTGAAGAACCAAAGGTCGTGACAGAAACATCAACGTTCTCTCTTCTCCTGGAGGAGAGAAGTCATCCACCTCCACCTCTGCACGTCTTCACGCTCCTTATTCAGGATGTCTCTTCATGTTTTCTGCTTTCCTCTGAATTTCATCACCATACAAATAAAAGCACGACCAACGAAACTTTAAACAAGAATGAAAAGAATGAAATGAGTCACATGTGAGCGAGGAAGGAGACGAAACAGGAAGACGCTGATAAATGCACAGATAACATGAGGAAGTAGCTTGCAGCAGGCAGTTCATTAGGGCTGACAGGCAATTAAACAACACCTTGTGCATCTGTGCACACACACACATGCGCACACATGCGCACACACACACACACACGCACACACACACAGACAGTGACCAGCAGCTACACCGGGGTTATAATTAGCACTCCGGGGCAGCAGCATGAAGTAACGACATAGAGCGCTAACACGCACAGATCCTCACTCGAGCTATATTTAACGTCTCATATCTCCCTTCAACAGAGCTCTGGACAAATTGCTGCAGAAAATAGGCTGATTGTTTTAGTGGGAGGAGAGGAAGAAAATGTCTTCCTCTGTGCAGCGAACAATGAGCTGCTACAACACACCACCAGCCTCACATGCTTCACCGGCTCCTGTTGACTCAACGCTGCCTGCTCTTCAGATACACGTTAACTTCATTAACTCTGTTTGTGTTTTTGTCTCTTCCTCCCCCCCTCTTCTGAACTCCCCCTCCTCCTATCTGTCAGTAGAAGAGGAAGAAGACGAGCATGATATGCTCACAAACCACACCCGCTTCACCAGAAGTCTCGGTAGGTTTCCGCATCTCTTCGTGTCCCTTCCTGAGTCCATCGTCCTCTTCCATCTGTCTGATGCCATTTGAAAACCCAGCCTCCTCTCTCTCTCTCTCTCTCTCTCTCTCTCTCTCTCTCTCTCTCTCTCTCT